TCGTAGCTGTCAGGTGGACGAACGTGCTCGTTACGCCATAGAAGACCGGTTTCAAAGCCTCCCGCCGGTAAACGGCGGGTTTTATCTTCTAGTTGTTGCAGTGCTCGTCGCTCGTCGTCGTTGTGGCTGCGTCTCGGTATGACAGCCAATGACTCGAGGCTGAAGTGTTCCCTCATCATCTGCTCCATGGACTCTTCATCATCAGGGGCGACAGCGTGGAGTACTTTGTGGGTGTTGACTCTTTCATTCGATCTCTTAGTGCCATGTAGAACCCAACCTAAATCGGTGAGTGTTGCGATCGGTTGGTGTCGGTCCCCTCGTCGTTCACCTTGTGCAGGTGCTGACCGGGCACGGCTGCTTCGGTCACTACCTGCACAAGGTGGCGAGGAGGGAACCGTCCCCGTCGTGCCACGAGTGCGGCGCTGCGGATGACACCGCGCAGCACACCCTAGAGGTGTGTAGCCGGTGGGATGAGCAGCGCCGCACTCTGACGGGGACTGTAGGGCAGGACCTCTCGCTGCCGAGCGTGGTTGCCGCCATGCTCGAAAGCGAGGAGTCCTGGGAGGCGGTGGCCTCCTTTTGCGCAGAGGTTATGTCGCAAAAGGAGGCCGCGGAGCGGGTGCGCGAGGACGCGGCGGACGCGCACCCGCTCCGGCGCAGACGTACGGGGAGAAGGCGAAGGCAGTTCGCTGCTCGCCTGATCCCCTAGTGAGACCAGCGGGCTCTGGACAGGGACTCCGGAGCCTGCATTGCACGGCCTCACTCGTCTGGGGGGCGGGTCGGAGGACAACCGACTCGCCCCTCCGTTGGCGCGGGAGCCCTGGCGCAAGCTAGGGCGGCCGGGCGGCGTCGTGGTGAATGTTCACCGATCCCACGGCGCCGACTCAACCGGCGAGAGGGAAACCCGGGGGGGTTTTAGTGGGGTAGGCCCTCCAGTCTGGAGGGAGAGTCCCCACATAACCCCTGAGTCTCCCTGGGCTCAGGGGTATCCATAAAGATTTCCCCCT